CCCCAAAACCCCAAAACCCCAAAACCCCAAAACCCCACAGACTAGAGCGATAATTGAATAAATTGAGTTTTCATCATCTTTCCTAAATGATTTACTTACAGCCTCCCAAAGACGACCATATACCTTCGAATTCTCTTCTTCTGAGCTATGAGGAGTCCATGATTTTAGCTCAAGATGAGGGTAGACAGATTAAATCTTTTGAAATCCTCGATAATGAATCAGCCAAAGATGGGCTGTGTAAGACTATCGAAAGATATCCTCATCCAGGCCAGAGCTACATGATAGGTTTAGCATGAGCAATCCTATCTTCTGTTTGATATGCTAGCAATGTTGTTTTTGGAAAGCTAGCTCTTAGTAGAACTCCTCTTCTAACCCCCTATGATATCAATTTTATGAGGGCATGAACATCGCTATTTGTGAATTCTTATCAAGCACGAAGAAATAACTTTAACCCTGTAAGTTGCTCTAAGAAGGGGCTAATCCTTTTGATCTTTTGCAACATAATGGCAGCTTTGAGATCATACCCTACACCTTGGTCTTATCAGTATATTTCAGCTAGCAAGTGCTTGTTGATCATCAATACATCTCCGATTTTAATTGTAATTATCGGTGGGGTACTCCTTGGCGAGAAGGTAACTACTATAAACTATCTAATTGGAGCTGCAGCAGTACTCGGATGATATGTCCTAACCTTATCCAACTCTGCAGAGAGCGTACCTGATTCTAACCCAGCCCTTGGGTATACTTTTGCATTGGTCGCTTGAGTCGCGAGGGCAGGATCTAGCTGAATTCAAAGAGTGCTTGCTCATGTCTGGCATTTCATGGCCTTACCCTTTTACTATACATTTACATTGTTTAGTATTTCATTTGTTGTTTGGATGCTTTTTGAAGACCAAGTCAATGTTGCACGCTATGATTTCATTGATTTTGTTTTGCTGGTCCTTGCTTCCTTAGGAACTACTTTTGGAATGGTGACTATTAGCATAGGATTGAAGCACCTCCCTGCGTCAACTGCTGCCCCTATTACAAATCTAGAAGTTGGTTTCGGATTCATTGGAGATATCCTGATCTTCCATTACCAGTTCTACCTAACAGATTTATTAGGAGCATGAATTATATTTGGATCGCTTACGATCCATATAATTCTTCAATGCTATAAAGTATAGCACGTTATGGATAGAATCTTTTCAGTAATTATCACAACTAGGGGTTTTGGGGTTTTGGGGTTTTGGGGTTTTGGG